AGACCAAGTTGGCGGTACTGGCAATGGCGGTAGACGTGACGCGCTTCGCCACAGTAGTAGAAGAGTGGACGTTTATCTGACGAACGCCACACGCTGACCTTTGCGGCGTTCTGTCGCGATTCAAACAGATAAGTGGGTGCACTTGGAAACCTTGAGACGGGTGGCGGAGTCGAAGACGTGCCCTGGAATCGATGGCTAGCCTGATTTATTGTCCGCATAGTGGAATCAGGAGAATGTGGTGCCGAGATCGCAGGACCACCACATAAGTCAGCAAAGGGGCCTCAGGCTTTGTGGCACGAGTGAAGTGACCACCTGTCGGATCTCATTTCGGACTAGGCCTGCAAGAGCATTTACGGTTGGTTGGGGTCTCGCTGCTTGGAGTTGGCGCAGCTCGTCCCGCACGACGCATCTTTTGAACTCTCCGAGGGCATGCCTCTCGCTGTCAGCCCCGATAGAGCATGCAGCAGTGGTGACGTCGTGGCGTTCATACTGTGATGACTGATGCTGGAGAGTACGCTCCAATGGGGTTGCCTCATTTATGAACTCAGCCACAAACGTCAGTGGATTGCGCATGAGTCCGGCGAAGAGTTGCTCTTTTACACCACGCATTAAATGCCGCACCTTCTTTTCCTCAGACATTGCCGGGTCGGCACACTTGAAGAGTCGAAGCATGTCCTCGACAAACATAGAACCTCTCTCGTTAGGTCGTTGGTTCCGACACGAGATGACCTGCTCTGCTCTCTCTTTCCTTTCGGCACTGCGGTATGCATCGCAAAATTGTCGGCTGAACTCTTGCCACGTCGCAAAAAAACCCTCGTGATTGTCATAGCACGTTTTGGCAGAGTCTTCCAACGCAAAGTAAACGCTCCAGAGCTTGCGAGCTTCATCCCATTTGTTGCTGTTGGCAACTCTATCGAAGTAGTCAAGCCAGTCATCAACATCCTCATAAATGTCTCCACGAAATGAGCGTTGTGTTTGCGGCGTATGAAAAATACGCGGGAGAAAAGAATAGGCGTCGTTGGTCTGACTCGCCTGGTTGGTAGTCAAGGTTGCCATCTCGTCTTGAGGGAGAGGATCGTTATCGGGAGATAGTCCTCGCAGGCGGCAACTGCTTCTAGCCGTGGGAGCTGTAGCTGTCTCCAAGTAGCTCGGTGTGTCGGCTGAAAATCTGGAGTCGAGGAACATTTACCCAGCACCTCCACCAGTGCCACAAATAAAATAACAGACAGCCACGAATCGACGTCTTGCTCACTCCCCGACCAGGAAGCAATGCGCTCTTCTTTCTCTAATTCCAAGCAATTTCACGCTACAGTTATCGCTCATACCCACTACCTGTGAATATATATATATATATATATATTATAATATATATATATATATATATATATATATATATATATATAATATATATATATATTAAAATATATATATATATATATATTTACGGGTGGTAATACATATCTCTGTTTTTGCTAAGGCAAGAAAAGGTGAAAGAGGGAGGGTAGGGGGGTCGTAGCAGCTGTCAGTGTGGTAGGGGGCACACCTGCCTTGGTTTGTAACCTGTAGGAGTAACGGACCCCCACTGCCCCCCTCCCCCGCTTCCGGAGCACTTCCACATGGTTTATGTTAAGTGGGAATGCGGAGGCGAGTGTTCCCACGCTCAACCCAGTACAAAAGATCAGTGAGCTCCAGTGACCACGGCGAGCCGGAGGTACTTCATGTTGGTCGTAAAAATTCGCAGGCGCTGAAAGGAGACATGTAGCAAATGCTGAAATGCAAGAATCGGGGCCGTCTACGTATGCTGGCTTCAGCCGCTCGAGCGTGACTGCATCGCGCTTTCCGTATTGGTCCACGATGAAAGCTGAGGAACGGCGTTCGAGTACATGGAAGGGCCCGAGATATTGTGGTTGCAAGGAACTGCACACGCGGCAGTAGCGCATGAAGACATGCGTCGCTTTGTGGAGGTTTGGAGTCACGTAAACAGTCCGTGAGTGGCTTGCTCGCGTTAGCTGCGGTTGAAGGTCCGTGAAGATATCACGCTGCTCGTCTACGCACTCGCTTGTTGGGGGCGAATAGTCTGGTTTGGTGGCGTCGAAGATATCTGCCGGTAAACGAAGAGGGGCTCCATAAACAAGCTCGGTGCTGCCACACGAAAGGTCTTCCTTGAATGCTGATCGAATTCCCAGCAGCATGAGCGGGAGAGCCACTTGGCCGTGGCACCACGTGCTGTAAGCGCTGCTTTCTGGTGACGATAGAAACGTTCTACGAGCCCGTTTGTTTGTGAATAGTAAGAGGCAGTTCACAGTGGCTTCACTCCCAGCAGCTTGAGGAGTTGCTTGAAAAGTGATGACTCGGGCTGGTGGCCGTGGTCAGTGACAATTGTTGTGGGGCAGCCGAATCGCTCCACCCAAGTAGAGACGAAAGCATCAGCCACTGTAGCTGCTGTGATTTCAGGGATAGGCGCAGCCTCAGGCCATAAAATGAAGTGGTCAACACAAGTTAATAAATACCGGTAACCTTGACAAGGAGGAAGGGGGCTAATTATGTCGATGTGGACCAGTGCGAAACGTTGATCAGTCTGCAGAGAACGCTGAAAGGGTGTGCAGGGTAACGATGTACTTTGGCACACTGACATGGTGCGCACGCACGTACCCGGTCGAGAATGTACGCATTCATGCGGCACCAGATGAAGCGTGATTTGATCAGCGTTTGACTTGCACGAGTTCCAAAGTGTTAAAGGTCGTGCAAAGAATTGAAGATTTTCTTACGGAAAGCGATAGGCAAATACGGTCTCTGTGTGCCTGTAGAGCTATTGCAAATGATTGGCACATCTTCAATGCAGACTGTATTCAGCTTCAGTGATGCTTGCATATCCCGTAAGTGAGATAGGTCTGTGTCGTCTGTTTGTGCTCTTGCAAGCTCACGTAAATGAATGGGGTAGGATGACAAAACTGACGTTTTTGAACAGCTGCGCCTGACAGCGTCCGCGCGAGTAAGTGCCCCAGTGGGAGTGTCGTCCAGGCCGTTGATGTGCTGGATATCCATCGTGAATTCTGAGATTAAGGCTAGTTGTCTAACTTCCTATGGCGCATAGAGTGATACAGTACGGCCTATTGAATAGGTGAGTGGCTTGTGATCTGGGAAAACTGTTAACGATCTGCCTTCGAGTAGGTGGCGAAAGTGACATACTGCCAGTTAGATGGCAAGAAGTTCCCGACCGAAAACACTATCTTGTTTGAGTAGAAGTCATATGTTTTGAGAAGAACGCAAGTGGCTGCGGTGCACCGTTGACCTTCTGCTGTAGAATAGCTCTTAGCGCTATATTGGAACCGTCAGTCAAGAGTACCAGCGGGCAGTCTGGTTGTGGGTGGGCGAGTATAGTGACTTCGACCAAAGCGTGCATGATGACATTAACTGCGTCATTCGAAACAGTGTCCCATTGTAGTGCTTTTGCTGAGTGCTTTCAGCAAAGCATGAGGTCTAGGGGTTCGAGCAGCATGGCGCAGTTTCTGATAAAGCGGTGGTAAAAGTTCACAAGCCCAAGAAACTTGCGGAGCTTTGTGGTTGACTATAGTTTGGGATTTTCGATGATGGCTTGCACTTTGTCAGTGGGCGGAACCCGTAGGTGTCCAAGTAGTGACGAAGGAATTCGAAGGCCTGCTGTCCGAATTGGCTCTTTTCCGTGTTGATTATTGCGCTATTTGCGGAGAGGCGTTGAAAGAGCTGGCACAGGTGGAGCAAGAATTCTTCGAGCAAAGAACTTGCGACTAAAATTTCATCAACGTATGCAAATACGAAAGGCAGTCCACGCACTACAGAATCGATGAAACGCTGGGAAGTCTGCGCAGCATTTCGAAATTCGAATGGCATTCTGATAATTTCAAATATTGCGAATGATGTTGTGATTGCTGTTTTTGAATTTCTTCCTCTGCTGCGGGTAATTCAGTGATAAACACGAACAAGATCAATTTCTGAAAAGATAGTTGTGTCATGGAGAGATGAAGTGAAGTCCTGTATGTTGGGTAGCGAGTACTGGTGCGGAACGGTAATCCACGCATGACCTACAATCCGTGGACTTCTTGGGGACAAGATGAAGGGGAGTCCCAGCTACTAGAAGAGGGTCTGATAATGCCGAGTTCTGGCATATGTTTGAATTCCGAACGGGCCACTTTGAGTTCGTCTGAAGCTAGACGTCGTGGTCGAGAGAACACAGGCGGTCTTGATGTGATGATGTAATGCGAACCATCATGGCATGCTAGTTGAGTCGAGTTCAGTAATGATGTAATATGAGAAAACTTTGCTAGGAGTGCTGCGAATTGCTCTTTGGCTATTTTGGCGCATGAGAGCGCCATATCTGTAGTTGCGCGCACTGTGAGTCCATGAACAGAGAGTTCAGTGGCGGAGTCCACTAAGCGCTTTCTTTTGACATCGACGAGGAGTCCATGTTGGTTTAGAAAGTTAGCACCAAATATTGCAGAACCAACGTCAGCGACAAAAAACACCCACCGGAAGATTCTTCGAATACCAAAATTGAGTGCCACAGAGCGTTGCTGGTACGCGGGAATGTGGCAGCTTTGAGGTGAAACAGTACCGTTGAGGCACGTTCTGGTTTTGTGGCTGGAAAGACACTCACTTAGGCTCCTGTGTCGATAAAAAATTTCTGTCTGGTAGTTCTGTCGCAGATGTGGAAAAGGCGACATTCCTCTTGGAGCTAACCGCTCGTCGCCACTGGTGGTCGGCCGTTGATTTTTCCGAGCATGTGCAAGGCAAAACGCAGCGGCGGGCATTTGCACCAAAACGGCGAATGTAAAGCACATTCGCGGACCTGGGGGAGTCAATTCGCTCTCTTTGGTGACGATGTAGCGTCGCAGAACGACGAAGTTGGCGCTCACGATGTGCGGACTGCTCTGGGAAGTTGCTGCCGCGATGAGATGTTCCAGCCGAGCACAAACGCGGTAAAAATCGGAGGGACCAGCGGTAGTGAATGCAGGGTTAGGTGGCTAAGCAGAGGTGGCAGGAGTGGTTGGTGATGTCGATTGCGTGGGTGTGCTGATGGAGGCGACTGGTAAACTTGTTGTCGCCACTTCCATAACTTCATCAGCTAGCGCAGTTAGTGATGTCAAAATCATGGCTGTGGCTGGAGCAAACACCATTTGGACGTGGTATGGCAGTCGTTGGAGGAAAAGTTCACGTAGCACTGCAGTGTCCATTGTTGTCGCACTAGTGCCGCGAAGATGCGTCATTCGCCGCAAAAACTGGCTTGGACTTCGGTCTCTAAGCTCTTCTGCTGAGAGTAGCTGCTGTATTCTGGTACTCTCTGACGCAGCGGTCCTTTCTGGGATGGCTGCCTTGAGCTGGTCGTATTGTCTTCTCGGGGAATTTTTGCGAAACGAGGCAGTCGACTACCGTTTCTGCAACTGTTGAGGGGAGTGCACCGACCACGTGGCGGAGTCGCCGCTGTTGTGAGGTGGTTCTTGAGAGATGGAATTGAGATTCCACTTGCAGAAACCACACGGCAGGGTTGCGTTCCCAGTATGGCGGAAGACGGCAAGGGACGGTGGAGATGACCTCACTGGATGGATCGGTCTTTGGCATCGTTTGGTTGGGAGGGAGTGTATGAACTTGACGCTCCATTTTGGAAGATCTGTGCGTTGGCGTCCGATCTTTGTCAGTCATGAGAGGCGAGGCTCTACGTTGCTTAGATGCGTTTAATCAAACCGGGTCAGCAGTTGTAGAGGGCATGCGGCGGATGGGCTGACTGCGGTACAAGACGTCCATGCGATATGTTTGTTTATTCTCTCTCTATCGAGCTGCGGCGGCACACGAGTGCGGGCCGCTCCCACGAGAGAGGGAAGGCAAAAGAGGAAGAGGAAAGCGTACAAAAGAGGATGTTCTAGGTATACACAAAAGCACAGTGTTAGGGATGAGACTCCAAGTATAGTTGAGGGCACATAGTGTATGTTACGTGGAGGTGTGGAGGCACGTGTTCCGACACTCACCACACCTTTTGTCGTCCTAGAATATGATAAAATATTATCTTGTTCGGCTGTGTGTTTGTGCTCAGGCAAATAAACTAGTCCTAATTATGAAAGAAGCAAAATTGCGTTTTATTTTACCCTAACTATAAACATGCTGAGATTGAAATTGTATTGACATTTCAGGACATCATTTTAGAATGCGTAAGTAGTCAAAAATTCTTGGGTGTGTTGTTTGAAGAAATTGTGTAGTATTATACACACAAAAACAGACCCCACTCAGAAATAAGCGCAGCAGTAGTATTTATATTCAACCTATTGGATCTAATTCCTTTACACTTAAAGGAGGCACGATATAGGGCCATTCCATGCCAAGTGATCCAGCATTTTTCCGACTATAACGAATATGGATGGCAGAATTTTGGCCTGTTTCACGAAGTGCAAAACTCATCATGGTTATTTATTTTGGTCGCAGAAAATTTTCCTCCGTATTTTCTTTTGGTACGAGTTTGCCGCCAACTGAGCTAGAGGTGATCAAACAACAATTTTTTTTTCAAAATATTTTCTCGGAATGCAATCAGTAAAATGGTATTTGCGGCAAGGTAATGCAGTAATATATCTGTAAACATTATGACTTACTTATGTATATGAAGTCTTCGAAGGTTTTCACAGGAGCAATATTTAATAAGATTGCTGAATTTGCGATCTTTTCCGGGAATCTGCCAAGATACAAAAACACAAATTATCTGCTGGTGGCTTGTTTCACATGCTACAAATTAAAAATATACAGGCAGCAAAGGTATAGTATGCAGTCTGAAAAAAAATCGTTAAAAGGTCTGTATTAGGCACCAAAAAACTTGCTTCGGCAGATGGACAAAAACTGTGCACGATATCTCATCTGAAAGCTCTATATATTTCCCCAAAATAGATGAAGTTACTGAAAGCTGATATTTTGAAACAAGAAAATAATTTTTTTGAAATTCAGTATTTCCACCAGATTTTGCCTGCATAACTCAAGTGGCATGAAGCACTCGCAAAAGCAATATACAGCAGAAGCTAAGTGAACTCGGATAGAGACAGCAAACTTGGTGCTCTCTACACAGCAATCGAAATGGGAATGAGGTAAGCATTTACGTTTAATTGCCAGCAGAAGTGCGCTACAAGGAATGTTGCAAGTGTTGTATCTTCCAGATGAGCCCTGAAGCTTTATGGTGAATTGCACTCGTCGAGTGAGAGCAAGTTTTCTTCCTCCTTGACCAAACATCTGCATTCCGCTGGTAGATTCAGAACAAGTTTGCGTTTACCACTGGTAGATTCGGTGTAACCCACTCCATGACGAAGCATTCAACGTGGCCCCGCTGCGGTGGTCTAGTGGCTAAGGTACTCGGTTGCTGAAGCGCAGGTCGCGGGTTCGAATCCCGGCTGTGGCGGCTGCATTTCCGATGGAGGCGGAAATGTTGTAGGCCCGTGTGCTCAGATTTGGGTGCACGTTAAAGAACCACACGTAGTCGAAATTTCCTGGCCCTCCACAACGGCGTCTCTCATAATCATATGGTGGTTTCGGGACGCTAAACCCCACATATCAATGAATCAATCAAGCATTACACGTGCTCCGTCTTGCAGATACGGATGTTCCCAGAACTCCAAGAATGCGTTGCCGTCATTTTCAGTACTGTTGGGCAGCACAACAGCACCTAAGTTGTCTTCAGCATTTTTTGAAAGCGCTGCTAGTCACCCTATGCACTTGTTTACATTCTTAAAAACGCGGCGGTTGCCTCCGCTGAACACAGAGGAAGGAATGAGAAGAGAGGATACGACCAGCCGGTGCGCTACGTGAAAAATGTGGAGGTAATCACCCCATGGCGGTCACATAGTCACGGGGTCGTGCCGTGCACAAAGGGACAAGACTGCAGGTTGGATAATAAACTGTTTATAAGGGGCTTACTTGTGGCCTCGTAAAAGGAAAGTCAGATTACAGCAAGACACTGGCACTGATAGCGGGGAGCAGAGCATCGGCCTTCGATCAACTGACAAGTCGTGAAGCGCGTCGGCATTTATACACTTTCCATCGAATGTTTTAGCGTTATTGCTATCGGTGACGTAGGCTCTAGAGTAATTTGTAATAATCATGAGGTGGGCGTAATCTTAACAAAACAATCTACTACAGCCTCGAAGCTTTGCGAATATGGTAGGCACGGTTTGCGCTTTACGTAGTGTAACGGGATGAAAACAAAACTTGAGAAAAGGAACGTGGCATTGCCCCCCCCCTCTAAAAAGGCTACGTCTCGATGCTTTAAACAAAGAAGGCACAATATTAAAGACAATAAATGGTAAGCACAAGCAATAAAGAATAGTAACAACAATAAAATAGAATCCTCAGGTTCGCGCATGAAATGGCTTGTGGTACATGACATGGACGACTTCAGTTCGAGCCCGGTGCCGTTGAGAGTTTGTAATGCCGTCAGAAACAACGTCGTAGTCGAGCGGGCCGAGACGCCGAACTACTCTGTACGTTCCGAAGTACCGCCGTAGAAGTTTTTCACTAAGTCCACGTCGGCGTATCGGCGTCCATACCCAGTCACGGTCACCGGGCTGGTACTCCACGAAGCTTCGTCGAAGATTGTAACGGCGGCTGTCAGCCGCCTGTTGATTCTTCATACGCAGGTGGGCGAGTTGATGAGCTTCTTCTGCGCGCAGAAGATAGACGGTGACGTGGACGTTTACTTCATCAGTGACTTTTGGCAGCAAGGCGTCGACCGTCGTTGTCAGGTTCCTTCCATAGACCAACTTGTATGGCGTCATCTGCGTCATTTCTTGTACGGCGGTGTTGTATGCGAAGGTTATGTACGGAAGGATGGCATCCCACGTGTTCTACGTTGACGTACATGGCCAGCATGCCAGCGATGGTCTTGTTCAGGCACTTGGTGAGACCATTGGTCTGTGGGTGGTACGCTGTTTTATAGCGGTGACTTGTCTGGCTGTATGCCAGAATCGCTTGGATTAGCTCAGCAGTAAATGCCGTACCTCTGTCGTTGATGAGGACCAGTGGTGCGCCGTGACGCAGGATGATGTTTTCGGCGAAAAAATTGAATACCTCAGATGCACCACCTTTCGGCAGTGCTTTCGTCTCAGCGTAGTGGGTAAGGCAATCGGTAGCTGCGACGATCCATTTGTTTCCCAAGGCCGACGCCGAAAACAGCCCAAGTAAGCCTATACCGCTTTGCTGGAACGGACGTCGAGGTAGTTCGAACGGCTACAGAAGTTCTGCTGATGGGTGGTGTCTTGCCTCGCTGGCAGTCCTGGCATGTCCTCACGTAATAAGCGACGTCAACGGCAAGGCGTGGCCAGTAGTATTTTTATTGTATTCTCCCGAGTGTGCGGGAAAATCAAGGTGGTCAGCCGTTTGGTCGTCATGCAGGGCCTACATAATTTCCGGTCGTATTGCCAAAGGCACGATGGTAAGGTAGCTGGCTCAGGCAGGAGAAAAATTCTTCATCAGGACGTCGTTCTTGAAAAAATGACGTCAGTCCTCACCAGAAGACTTTTGGGATGACGCTGGCTCGGCCCTCGAGGTATTCTACTAGCCCTCTCAGTTCCGAGTCGCCTCGCTGTCGCTCGGTGAAGTCTTCGGCACCTATGATTCTTAAGAAGTACTGATCATCCTGGTTGTCCCGCGTTGGTGGATTGACTGGGGCACGAGACAGGCAGTCGGCGTTGGAGTGTTTCCTTCCAGAGTTGTACACGATGGTAATATTGAACTCTTGAAGTCTTAGGCTCTATTGTGTGAGCTGACCTGAAGGGTCCTTCAAGTTAGCTAGCCAACACAGGGCGTGGTGGTCGCTCACAACTCTAAAAGGCATGCTGTACAGATAAGGGCGAAATTACAACGCTGCCCAGACGATGACAAGACACTCCTTATGTGTGGTGGAATAGCTGGCCTCGGCCTTCGATAGCGACTGGCTAGCATGACTGATAACCCTTTCCAGACCATCGGTCTTTTGTACCAGAACGGCGCTGACTCCTATGCTGCTTGCATCGATGTGTACTTCTGTTTCTGCAGATTCGTCAATATGGGCAAGTAGCGGCGGTGTCTGCAGGCGTCGTTTGAGTTTCTGAAATGCTTCAGTTTCAGCTGCTTCCTATTTAAAGTCGGCGTCGGTCTTCATGAATTGCGTCAGTGGCTCGGCGATTTGTGAAAAGTCTTTGACAAAACGGCTGTAATAAGAGCAGAAACCAAGAAATCGGCGCACGGCCTTCTTGTCGATGGGTTGGGGGAAGGTAGCGATTGCAGATGTTTTCTGCGGGTCTGGGTGCACTCCAGTCTTGCTCATCACGTGACCCCAAAACAGGAGCTTCTTATACGCGAGGCGCCATTTTTCTGGCTTTAGTGTAAGTCGAGAGCTCCTGACAGCTTGAAGTATGGATTACAGGCGCTGGAAGTGTTCGTCGAAGCTTGACGAAAACACAAAGACGTCATCCGAATAAACAAGGCAAGTCTGCCACTTCAAGCCAGCCAGGACCGTATCCATGACTCGTTGCGAATTCGCAGGTGCCGAGCACAGACCAAAAGGCATGACTTTGAACTCGAAGAGGCTGTCTGGCGTTACGAAGGCAGTCTTT